ATAAATTGATTGGGGAAAGCCGAGTCCTCCTCAGTAATTATATAGGTTAAGACATTCCTGCCAGCTATTTTAAAACCTAGAAAATTGTCCCCATTGCATTTTATTTTATTTTGAAGCATGCAAGTTTCAGAGAACACCCCCGGCAGTTTAAAAAAACAAAACAAAACAAAACAAAAAAACCTCTGCAACTTCCCACTGCCTGGCACCCTGTTGACAGAGTACCCAATTATGGCGGTTGGCATGGCACTATACTACAAGAAAGAAGGGTCTCATTTACACTATATATGCACACGCTGGAATCCTGGGTATTTCTCCAATCGCTACTACTAATCTGAGACCTTCTTCCTCCAGGGCCTGGAATTAATCACTAGAATATACAAAAATCAGCTAAATTCAATGTAAATTGGCAAAGGCCTGGTTTAACTGGCCGCTGTAGTGGAACCCATTTTTGAGCCGCATGGAAGCACGGCACGGATTCAAGAGTATGCCTACTAAAGAAAAATGTGCTATGTGCTAAATATGCACATAGGGAAATGGGGTGGGGGAGAGGAAACCTTATTGGCTGGTGTCTACCGATGAAGGGAGAGCCATTAAATATTGCAATGACTCTCAGGGATCATTCTGATTTCAGGTGGCCAGCTGTAGGGATGTCAGAGAGTTCTGATGGGAACGGGAACAGAAATGGCCAATGTTTGCATGTTCGTCCCATATCCGTAATGGAAATCAATTCAGCAAATAAGATCAGTTGAATGGAAGCATTGCAGATTGTAAGAGGCTCTGCACTACCCAGAAAAGCTCTGTTGGATGGCACAATGAGGATGCCATGGAGGCTGTAAAGAAGTCTGGAGATTGTAGTTCTCTGAGGGGACTGGGGGTCTTTTAACAGCTCTTAGCACCTTAACAATTTTCCATGATTCTTTGGGGGAGCCATGACTATTTAAAGTGGTATGATACTGCTTTAAATGTATAGTGCAGAAGGGGCCTGTGTGTCATATGAAGTGGTTCCATTTTCCTGTCCTGAAGCTGGAAGGGGGAGGGGGGAGGTCAGGATCCCCATCACACTTGCACAATTTGTTTTGTGCACATGGGTGCACATAAATGCATCTCATGATAGAAGCAGCCTTGAGACATAAATAGATCTCACCCTATAAGGAAACAATTTGTAATGAAAAGTGGAACACCTTTTAAAGTCCCATAAACACATTCATTCATTCATTCATTCATTCATACAATGTTAGTGCCACTGGTCAGCATCCACATCAATAGTGCAAGCACTTTAGGCCACACAGTGAAATTTCCCTTCCCCATGTAGTCCCTAAACCAGATCTGTAGAGTTGAGGGAACTCCAAAACTTATTTAGGGAATGTGTGTCAAGGTGGGATTTTCAACCTATTTCTCAAATGGGTTCTGGATTTCTAATGTGAGAACCAGAATAAGTTTGAAAATTAATAATAGAAACATGGAGGGGGAGGGAACTAAATTTATTTTGTCACATATTGTACCTAACTTGCAACATTACGGTTTGAACAACTATCCTGTGTTCCATTTTCAAATTAAAAGTTGCCCTTTTAAGATCATTGAATTTTTTGTTAAAAAGCAAGCAATCGTTAAATATATAATAACTCCAAGCTGTTTCATGGGGTACGTTTCGCAGCCTTTGAGCAGTGAAGTTTTTATATGCTTGAAATTTTCAGAATGTACAATGACTGAAGAATTCTCAGGATTCTTTGGGGAAAACCCTAGCTGTGTAAAGTGGTATCCGAGTGCCTTAAATGCATGGTGCAAAGGTGTTCCTAGTGTAGAAATGACACCATCAACAGGCAATTGGAGAAGATTCTAACATTAATACTTCAAATATATATATATATATATATATATATATATATATATATATATATTTGTGTGTGTGTGTGTGTGTGTGTGTGTGTAGACTGGACTGGGAGAATAGGAAAGAAAAACAGATAGGGAAGACTGCTGGCATTCACACTAGGTCTCAGCCCTGCTTATGATACAGTCCAGCTCAACAGCTCTGCAGCTTATAAAATAAAGTGCATTCTGTGCAATTTAAAAATGCACCACATTGTCATTACTTTTACAGAGCTGGGCAATGGGTTTGGCTTTTACATTTGGCGTGGAGGAAGCAGGATGAGCAAGTCCTTTGAATACAATGAAACAGCCACTGGAAAGTCCCTTAAATAATAATATGGAACTATATCTCCGCTTCAACGTTTCATAAATAATGAACGAGGGGGAAATTCCTAGTAGCTACACATTCTGTAGTGCACTACCTATGCAAGCCAACTCTGAATCTAAGGATCTCTAAATGCGAGAAAAATTTAATTTGGTAGCATTTTTTTAAAGCTAAAATTCAATTTACTTGGCACTGTGCAATAATTTCCCCCTCACAGCTATAGTCATAACTGGATTTTTTTTTCAGCTCCTGAAAACCAAGAGCTTTGCAATATAGCGAAAAGCAAGAAAAAATGTGACCAAAACTGCTTAGAATACAAAAATATTGTGCTTCTGATCTAATGTTAGGAAAATGTTTTCCACTATTAAGTCATTCATCCCCCCTCCTTTTTTTTATAACCCTGTGTGTGCTTCTCTCCTCAAGGCAACGCACAGTTTGCTACCTTAAAATGCTTTTGTAAATTAAAAGGTGTGACTTAATTTTCATATTGAAAATTCATAGGGAAATTTGTTAGCTTTAACCATTTCTCCCCCTTAGGAAACATCAAGCACACTCTGAAGATTTAAAAACAATACAGGATTCCTCTACATCTGGAGCAGCCAGGTTTGTCCTCTCTAGACAGTGATGGGCTATGTTTCCCATCACTGCTGGCTGGGCTTGATGAGAGTTGTAGTCCAACAACATCTGGAAGGCACCACATTGGATAACTCTGCACGGCACCATGGTCTCACTTCCATTTTAATGCTCGGATATAGTAAAATCCAAAGGACAGACCATCCTTTTATGCTAAGGTCACACCTACACCATGCATTTAAAGCACATGGCTTTCCCCAAAATATTCCTCGGAGCCACAGTTTGCCCACCAGAGAGCTATGATTCCCATAACCCTTAACAAACTACAGTTCCCAGGGTTCTTTGTGTGGGGGAAGCCATGAGCTTTACATGTATAGTATGGATATGGCCAAGAATTGTCTTTGTTGGTAAAGAACACTTCCCCTAGGAGAACAATTTGGTAGCAACATAATTTACCACATGTTACTACAGAAGTGGTCTAAATGTTCAGTGCTGGACTATAATCTGTGAGACCAGGATTCATAATCCCACTCAGATATAAAGCTTGATGGGTGACAATCTCTCAGACTCACAGGGTAGTTGTGAGATTCAAATTGGTTGGGGCACAAGCATGTATTCACCCTGAATTCTTGGGAGAAAGAGTAAATAAATACAAGCATAATGGAACATCAGAATCCATTTCAAATTCTATGTAACAGAAAAAAAATGGCAAGAGGTCATACTCAGAGTAGATCCACCAAAATCAATAGACTTAACTAACTTGAGTCCCAAAATTTCTGAAAATTACTAACTATTTATAGCACCCAAGATCTCTTCCCCACGTTGACCCAAATTTCCAATCAAATGGAATTGCATAGCCAATGCTAAGTAAATTCTGCTTGTTTGGTGCAAGAGATATATTTTCTTTCAACAGCTTAACATTAAGAAAAATTGTAAACCTGAATGTAATACAGGAACACAGTCAACAGGCTAGATTAGAGGCAAAGATAAGTAAGATTGTGATGGTGGTGAGTATGATCATTTAGACTTTATTGATGTTAACTGGATGACTAAAATAACTTTGGCATAAAAAATATACTGTAGTCAAGACAACTTGCATATTATTATTTTTTGGGGGTATTTATTAATCTACTAACTGATCACACTGAACTGCTCCCTGAGTACACATTTCCCACCAAAAATGTTTGCTGAAAGATTTTTGCAGAAAGAGCATGTTATTAAAACCAGAAGTAAAACTATTTAGTGATATTAAAAATATTTGATTAATTAAAATCATAATCAGTTAACCAAGAGCAAGTTAAGCGCAACAAAAATTCTAACAAAGCTTTATGTAGAACTACTGAGCCATCTATAACAGGCTTCATCAACTTGGTTTGGATTACAGATGGTTTTGGATTACAGTTCCTGCCAACCTTGGCCAGATTGGATGAGACTGATGGGAGTTGAAATCCAAAGCATTTGGAAGACACCAGGCTGGCAAAGTCTGCTTTGGGCCCATAATGTTGATTCTGCTCCCATCACCATATAAGATTCTTTTACATGAAGGTTCTAGGACATGGGTTGTCAACCTGGTCACTTCAACCCACTAGTGGGCGTTTCAGGATTCCAGGTGGGCAGTAGGGGGTTCTACGGCACAAGCTGAATCCTCCTTCCACCGAGAGAGATGAACGCTCTATCTATTCATCTTTCTTGCACTCAGTGGTTAGCAGGAAGTGTGGGCAGGTGCAAACACACAAACGTACATGAATGCATGAACAAGAGTGAGTGTAACATGCGGGAAGAGGAAGTGTGATAGCCAAGTTTGAATCTCCCCCCTTCCCTGTGTTTTGCTTCTGTTTCTGAGTCACCAAGTATGTACATGCATAGGCGGGGCAGCTGCAGTAGAAAAGTATTCAGTGGCCCTGCCTGTGAATGTATCCACTTTGCTTGGTCTGTGAATGCATCCATCTTGTATGGCCTGGTGTACCATATAAGGCAGGGGTTGTCAACCTGGTCCCTACCACCCACTAGTGGGCGTTTCAGGATTCTAGGTGGGCGGTAGGGGATTCTATGGCACAAGATGATTCCTTCTTCTATCGAGCACTAGTGGGCAGTAAGGAAATTTTACCATCAAGGAAGATGTATGGGTGGCAGTAGGTATCTAAAGGTTGACTAGTAACAGGCCCTGGGATCATAGAGTCGGAAGGGACCCTGAGGATCATCTGGTCCAACTCCCTGCAGTGCAGAAATATGCAGCTGTACCATACAGGGATTGAAACTGCAACCTTTGTGTTATCAGCACCAAGCTCTAAATCACACACTCTACCACTGAGCCCTACCCTAACAAGGCTTTGTCCATTGGAGAATGGGACCGTAAAATGTTTGCCTGTCCTGCTGACAAACTGCATTATCAAACTGGTGAAATCTATGGGAAAAAAAGAAAAGAACTATATTTTGCATGGTAAAATATACTATTACATGGGAGATGTTCTATTATGGCTATTAATATTTAGGCATTTTTAGGTATCATGGTTTCACCGCACAATACGTCCTCATCCACAGAATCATAGAATTGTAGAGCTAGAAGGTGCCCAAAGCCCCCCCTCCTCCTCCCCCCTACCAAGTTCTACAAGGGCAACATTGGGACTAAAGAGGAAGAAGCTCACAGGCAGTGCCACCACCTGAACTGGTGGTAAGTGAGAAAGCAAGTGGGGCTGATGGAGGGTGGTGGAATAGTGCCCCATTCAGCTTAATGGAACCCTGCCTATTAAGTGTGTGTAAAGAGAGATAGAGGTGGGAGGCAGTGGAAGACAGGAGTGCTTGGCGTGCTCTGGTCCATGGGGTCACGAAGAGTCGGACACGACTAAACAACAACAACAAAGAGAAATGATGATGATAACAATAACAATAATTTATTTATACCCCACCCATCTGGCTGGGTTTCCCCAGCCACTCTGGACAGCTCCCAACAGAACACCAATAACAACAATAAAAAAGCAACAACATCAAACATTAAAAACTTCCCTAGACCAGGCTGCCTTCAGATTTAGAAGTCAGATAGTTTTTTATTTCCTTGACATCTGAAGGGAGGGCGTTCCACAGGGCAGGTGCCACTACCAAGAAGACCCTCTGCCTGGTTCCCTGGAGCTTCACTTCTCTCAGTGAGGGAACTGCCAGAAGGCCCTTGGAGCTGGACCTCAGTGTCCAGGCTGAACGATGGGGATGGAGACGCTCCATCAGGTATACTGGGCCGAGGCCGTTTAAGGCTTTAAAGGTCAGCACCAACACTTTGAATTGTGCTTGGAAACATACTGGGAGCCACTGTAGGTCTTTCAGGACCAGTGGTTTGTGGTCATGAAGGCCACTCCCAGTCACCATTCTAGCTGGAAGAGAGAGAACAGTAGGATCCATTGGTTAACCCTCAGTTGTGGGCTGGTTTAACCTTTAAATAAATACATCCACCCACACCAAAATTAGAGACATGCTGAGTTTGAGAGGTTTTTGTTTCTAGCTCAGTGTCTCACTAGGGTTTTAGGCAAGAATTTCCATCAGCTCTACCTGGAGATTTTGAGGACTGAACCTGGGACCTGCTGCGTAAACTGAGCTAAAATTCCAGTCCTCGTGGCTTTGAATACAGGGGAAGTTTAAATGGGAACATAAGAAATTGCCATATACTGATTCAAACTATTGGGTCCATCTAGCTCAGTTTTGTGTACACTGACCTGGCAGAGGCTCTCCAGGGGCTTAAGCTGCAACCTTTCCCCAGCCCTACCTGGAGATGCCATTTGGGATTGAACACAAAGCAGATGCTCTAACACTGAGTTACAGCCTGGGCTGCAGGAAGAAGTGAATTAACAGCTCTCTCTCTCTCTCTCTCTCTCTCTCTCTCTATATATATATAGAGAGAGAGAGAGAGAGAATAATGCAACAGGAAACTATCAAAGAAAATGAATGAAAAAGAAACCAATACAAAGGAGTCCAGTGAGTCTGCAGAAAGAAAGAAGGGGTGTGTGTGTTAAAGGCACAAGGAGAGCAGGTTATTATGGGTGGATGAAACACAAAACTAACAAGTAATCTCAAAGCGAGAATGAGGAGAGCTCTTTTCTGCTACCCTAGATTTGATTTCTCAACACTAGATTATACATCAAAGACACACCGGGTCAAAGTAGCAGTTTAAAATTCATACAAACGTGCTTTAAATTGTCTACACATTAGGGTGGAATTGGTCCACATGCTTGTTTTATGGAAAGAAAATAGAAGGCTGAGCAGACTTGGGCAAATGGTATATCTTGATGAAATATTGCATACATGTTTCCTCGAGAGCAGATCTGATACAGCGAGATGGAAACAAACCCTAAAATAATAATGGGCAAATAAATGAAGTGAAACTCAGCAAAAGATGTAAAAGCAACAGAGATGGGATCTTGAATCTGTTGAGTTCTGCAAACACGTAAGCATCAGGCCAGGGCATAGAAATCCCAGAGTTGTTGAGCCTATATTTGCAAAATGTCTAGGAAAGAAAAAAGAGTGGCTTTTGGTGTCAAGTAGGAGATTCTAGCCAGCTGCTAGGTGTGAGTGTGAGAGGGAGGAAGAATGTCAAAAGAAAAATGAGAATAACATCCAACCTTTATATGACGTCTTTTCCAAATCTAAGATTACCTGGAATCTCATACCCTCCAACACCTGGACGGCAAAAACCGGGACACCATCTTCCTGGCTTTTTATTGTGAGAGAATGGCAGCCATTTTGGTTGCCACGATCTTATATAATTTCACACCACAACTCCCCCCTCCAAAAAAAGTACTTTTGGAGGCACAGCACCCCTAAATGTGTGTTTTGGGGCACTGCAAGAAGGGGAATTCATGACACACGTGTGAGATCACAGTGACCAAAATGGCCAAGCATTTAAGTGGGTACCTTGTTCAACATTTTTTACCCAGTTGCAGGATGGGGGAAATTCTTTTTTAAACACTCACATTTCCTTTTCCTTATGCCCCCTACCCACCCTCAACAGGGACTTCTTCAAATGGGAACTGCAGGAAGAAAAATTGCTGTCGGTATGGTTAGCAAAATGCTGTTTCGATCCCAGGAGATTAAAGGTTCTGTTGGAAAGGCAAGATAATAAAATCTAATAAATAAAAGCCTTCCCTGTTATATTGTGGGAAGATGCAGTGACAAATATTTGCATTTTATAAATTCTTTGTGTCACCTTTAATCTATTTAGTGTAATAGATCTTCTCCCAGCAGAACACCCCCAATTCAGGTATTGATTTAATATTTTAAAAATGCCCTGTCATTAAAATAAAAAATAAAATAAAAAAATCCAATACAGATGAGCATTATTAGTCAGGTCGAAGTCGCAGAAATAATTTATAAAAATTATCTATCTGAACTGGTGTGCATTTGGATGAAAAAGATATTGATTTACAAATCAACTGTATTTTTTCTATAAATGAGATAAGTTTATAATTCAGCGTGATGTTTATAAATCCTGGACACAAGCTAGAAATCAGCAGCTTGATATATAAATCCAAAATTGTGCATATAAATCAGGGATTGTAAGAACTTGGGTATAAATTAAACCCATAAATATAGTGTAGTGTGCCAACCCACTTCATACCAGCTTAATTCATAAACTCGTCTAAAAAGAAACCTTTGGAATTTACAGATAATGTTACTTTTTCTCAAAATAGAAAAATACTCAAAATACTTTTTCTCAAATACTTTCTCAAATACTTTTTCTCAAAAATAATTTTCTAAAAGTAAAGGGTTTCTGCTACAAAGCAAAAGAAATTTGGGCTTGCAAATGTTATGTGGGGTTTCATGCATCTCTTTCTCTTTCTTCCACAAACAGGTGTTCCTCCATTACAGGGGGCAGAATGTTTTTAATGTAATCTTATTATATTTATGGTACCAAACTTTTGTGGGTTTGATAAAGGTAAAGGTAAAGGGACCCCTGACCATTAGGTCCAGTTGTGGCCGACTCTGGGGTTGCGGCGCTCATCTCACTTTATTAGCCAAGGGAGCCAGCGTACAGCTTCTGGGTCATGTGGCCAGCATGACTAAGCCGCTTCTGGCGATCCAGAGCAGCTCACGGAACTGCCATTTACCTTCCCGCCAGAGCGCTACCTATTTATCTACTTGCACTTTGACGTGTTTTCAAACTGTTAGGTTGGCAGGAGATGGGACCAAGCAACGGGAGCTCATCTTGTCGCGGGGATTTGAACCGCCGACCTTCTGATCGGCAAGTACCGTGTCCCTTGGTACATTGTTATATATGCTATTATGTTGCTGTTTTATTATGTTATTATGAAAATGTTCTTGTGATGGTTGATTTTGAGATGCATTCCTGTTGCAAACAGCTTTGAGCAGGATTCCTTTTGTGGAAAAGCAGCATGCAAATAAAACTCTGAACGAATGAACGAACGAATGAATGAAAACCCTCACTCTGGTGCGGCTGACATCACCTCCTCACCCTCAAGTGCACAATGTCCTGGAATGACACTAAGGGAAGGGCACTGTTGAAAATGCAAAATGGTGGCCAGGGTGCCAAAACAGTTCCTACTGGTGCCACTTACAGTGGCAGCAAAAGAAAGGAATCATGGGGAAAGAACCTGGGGCTTCTTCCACTGCTAATGGTGACCCCATCCTACCCTGAGAAAATGCTGGAGAATTTCTCCTGCCCCTGGGAGGAGATGATTAAATGGTCCACCATTCTCCCAATTTCTTTGCCCACTATTTGGGCAGCAAATTGTGAACAGACTCCTGTGTATGGCTCTGAATACAAGACTAAAAAAAGGTAAATCTGTTTTGTTGTTCCTTTCTTTCTTTCTGAACAGACAGAGTGAAGGCAAAAGGTACCCATGCCTATGGTCACTTAGCAAGTTCCTGGCTGTGGTGAGATTTGAACTTGGAACTGCCCAGCTCCCCCTCCCAGAAAGAATAGTAGGCCAGCAATCTCCTGGTGCTCCATCCCATTACACATGGCTGAAGGGTTATTTCAGATGCTGTTCCACATGCACATGGCTATTTCAAATTATATATATTTTCAAAACGAAAACAAAATTCTTATGGGCCAGAGGCTATTTTCCATGATACTTTTTCCTCCTGTCACATTGTTTATACTGTATATTTTATGAGCACCAATGTTATTACAGAGTTCTCAACAATCATTTGGTAGTGTCTGCGACATAATTGAGTACAATTTTATTACCCTAGTGAGCAGGTATAAATGTTTAATTTGTGTGCACCACATGACAAGGAGAATTCTCGAAGCCAATAAATCTTTTTTTATTATTATTTTGCTCGTGCAATACCACACCTTCTGCTTGGCACG